TTAAATTTTTTTCATCTTGTCTAAAAAGCACCAGTAAATTTACATTATCTCGGACTAGATGTTTTGGAATACGAGCATATGTTTGACACAAGTAGAAACTGTCAACATTTACATGTCTACCCATACAAAAGAAAGCTCTAACATTGTCTTGCTTTTCACAAGCAATATCATCAAAGATGAATATTGAGTTTGGTTTAGCATCTTTTGGAGATACTACTTCTTCATGCTCACTAAATGGAAAGTATTCAATTCCATCCACGTCATGAATTACATTTTTCAAAAATTGATATTTTGGCTGCTGCAGAGATTTAGAGTATAGGTAAATATTTTCAAAACTTAAACCATTTGGATGTATAATTAAAGAGAGAAGAGCGTTTGTTTTACCACAATTTGAGGGACCACAAAAGACAGCTCGGATGCTATCTGAAAACAAGCTACCATGACGTTGAATTTTTTTCTCACTACTTTCAACGTCAATACTTGTGATTGGGAGTGCTACAGGTTGTTTCGTGAACTGCATCTTGACAGTAACTGCTCTGTAAACTATAAATACTCGGCTTTTATAGTCTTACAGTCAGTTGCATATCAAACTTCATAGAGTGTAGAATGATTTTACATCGAAGTGATAAAAAACATCTTTGTCGTGGTAGAGGATTAGTTAACCGTATTATCAATAGTTTACCTTTTGAATTACATTTACCTGGATACCAATTCTGTGGACCCGGTACAAAGTTGACAAAAAGATTGGCACGTGGTGATAAAGGTGTTAACCCATTAGACGCTGCATGTAAAGCACATGACATTGCATATTCACAAAATAGAGAAAACATTGAAGCAAGAAACGTTGCAGACCAAGAGCTAGCTGAAAAGGCGTGGCAACGTGTTACAGCTAAGGATTCTAGTATCAGTGAAAAGGCAGCAGCTTTAGCGATATCTGGAACGATGAAAGCTAAATCAACGTTAGGTATGGGAATGAAAAGAAAGAAAAAGTCTTTAATTAGGAAGAAAAAAAGGAAAACCATGTGTAAGAAAAAGCGACTAGCATTAAGAAGAGTTGTTGATGCTGCTAGAAAAAGTATGCTACCCGATCATAATTCTGGAGAATCAATTCAAGCTGCTCTGATTGGTGCAAAAGAAGCAATAAAGAATGCTGGTGGTAAATCAAAAATTTTGTCACCGCGAATTCTACCTGTACCTTCTAAAGTTGGTGGTATTTTACCACTAGTTCCAATTTTTGCTGGACTTAGTGCTTTAGGAGCTCTTGCTGGTGGAGCTTCAGGTATAGTGAAAGCTGTAAATAAGGCTAAAACTGCCAAGGAACAACTTGTTGAAGCTCAACGACATAATAAAGTAATGGAAGCAATATCGCTTGGAAAAGGATTACATCTCAAACCCTACCGACAAGGACTTGGTCTTCATATTAAACCATACATTCAGGGGAAAGGATTAAAAAAGAAGAAGAAACCAACATTAAGGAAGAAAAAAAACTTGTATTGAAGCTACCTCACCGTCCTCTAACTGATTTTGATCTGTTGAAATATGCTAAAACTATGAAAATACCACATTTTCGTGGAGTTTTCATGCGAAATGAACTATCTTTAAAAGGACCTTATCGATATGAGTCAGGAATTATTAACTTAGATAACAAAGAAGGCCCAGGAACACATTGGGTGGCATATAAAAAATGTAATAACGAAATAATGTATTTTGATAGTTTTGGCAACCTTCCTCCACCAACAGATCTAATCATATACTTGGGTGATGGTAGCTTAATAAAATATAATCATGAAAGATATCAGAATTATGATACTTATGTGTGTGGACATTTATGTTTAAAATTTTTATGTAAACAACTTAATGTTAAGAGCAGCTTTAGTCTATATAAGAACGTGTAACTTTGTAATCTTTTAGTATATGAACAACTTAATGTTAAGAGCAGCTTTAGTGTATATAAGAACGTGTAACTTTTGTAATCTTTTAGTATATAAACTGACAGCATCATGAGTGATTCGTTTACTTTAACACTAAGTGGAAACAGTTCAGTTCTTGAATCTGAATATTTCCCACCAATAGAACTTAATCCAAATAAAAATTATGTCCTCGGTCTTGTTGAATTACTGACTTTTAATTCTATTCCCAATATTGATCAAGGTAACAATAAATTTTACATTGGTAATCATATAATTGATATACCAACTGGGAGTTATGAAATCACAGATATTGAAACATGTATAAAAAATTCAGTGAAACTTGGAACTGTTATTAGTATAAAACCTAATAACAATACATTGCGCAGTTTAGTTGAATCAAATTTACCAATTGATTTTAAACATAAAGATTCAATTGGTAAATTATTAGGATTTACACCCCGGAAATTATCACCTAATCAAACGCACATCTCTGATTTACCTGTAGCCATTCTCAAGGTAAATTCAGTCAGAGTTGAGTGTAGTATTACATCTGGAGCATATATAAATAATCAAAAAGCCCACACTATCCATGAATTCTTCCCTAGCGTTCCACCAGGATATAAGATTGTGGAAGTGCCAGCACACGTCATTTACCTTCCGATTGTTGTCAAGACAATACATAATATTCAACTCCGCATTGTCGATCAGGACGGTGATTTGATTAATTTTCGAGGAGAAACTATAACTACCCGATTGCACATAAAGTCAATGTAATGGGAATTGTATATAATCAAAAAGTTGGTGGAAACTATAAAAGTCAGCCAACATGCCAAAGACAAATCAGTTTAAATTTGTCTCACAAGGTGTTAACACCTCAGAATCACCTGTTCCTGAAAAAACTAGGTCTAAAAGTTATACCTCAAGGAAAACGCCAAGACAAATAATTTATATATTTTTTGGGTGTTGTTGCAACAAAAATGGACGAAATTCTCAACATTCCAGCAGCAGTGAATTTTGATGAGTCCATAGCTCATTATGAAATTCATGCTCATCAACCGTATGCTTCATCCTCTTTTAACAATAGTGATGAAATTCGAATTGCAGTTCAACATCAAGATTTATGTATTCTACCGAGTAAAAGTTCATTGCACATATTTGGGAAATTGACTAAAAATGATGGTATTGCTGTTACAGAAAACGTGCACTTAAGTAGCAATGCAATATGTTTTTTATTTGATGAAATTCGCTATGAATTAAATGGTATCGAGATTGATCGATGCAAATACGTTGGACATACAACTATTATGAAAAATTTAGTATCTCTGACTCCACCTCAATTAAATCTAATTGAAAATGCAGGGTTTTCAAAAATTACAGCTGATGCAAGAATTTCTTTAGAAAATGGATACTTTGATATTACAATACCACTTGGCATGATTTTTGGTTTTGCTGAGGATTATAAGAAAATTGTTATGAACGCTAAACATGAACTTATTTTAACAAGAGCACGTAATGACACTAATGCTATAATTCAAACAGGTCAAGGAGCTGATGAAGAATTTAAAATTTTCATCAATAAACTAGAATGGATGGTACCATACGTTTTACCAGCTGATAATAATAAAATAAAATTATTGAAATTTATTGAAAAAGATCCTTTAATTTCAATAAGTTTTCGATCATGGGAAATGTACGAGTATCCGTTACTTCCAACAAGTTCAAAAGTCCTATGGCAAATAAAAACATCAACACAATTGGAGAAACCACGATATGTAATTGTAGGATTTCAAACAGCAAGAAAAGATAAACGAAAAAAATATGCCTGTCATTTTGATCATTGTAACATTACAAATGTTAAACTATTTTTAAATTCACAATATTACCCTTATGGAAATTTAAATCTAAACTTTGATCAAAATCAGTATGCTCTGCTTTATGAAATGTATGCTAATTTTCAAAGTTCTTACTATGGAAAAGACTCAGAACCTATTTTAACAAGGGCTATTTTTAAACAACTATTTCCTCTAATTGTTATTGATTGTTCAAAACAAAATGAGTTTCTTAAACAAGCATCAGTAGATGTACGTTTAGAATTTGAATCAGGAAATAATATGCCGGCTGAGACCACTGCATATTGCCTCATTATTCATGACCGCGTTGTACAATATAAACCAATCAGCGGCGTCGTCAAGAAGCTGCTGTAGAGGAGAGGGGATAAAGTGGAGGGAGTATGATTGAGTATAAATGCAGTAGTTTTCAGCCAAAAAATTCATTTCTGGTTCAACATGGAGTTCATTGTAGACGTCCAAGGATTTAAAAGACCCTACAACGATTTTATTTTCAAAGAGTTGGCAATACTTCCTCTTCAACCAGATGCTCAACCACTTGTCTACCTATTTGAATCACCTTGTACGTGGAATTCATTGCCAGGACGCTATAAAAGTGAAAATCGCTGGTTAACACACAACTACCATGGAATCCATTGGGCAGCTGGAGATGTCTCATATGATGAACTTCGTCCTATTCTACGAGAAATACTTCAAGGCGCTAGCGTAATTTACGTTAAAGGATTAGAAAAGAAAACATGGTTAGAGAAATATGTGTTGAATGTACAAAATTTAGAAGATTTCGAATGTCCTTCTTTAAAAAAACTTAAGACTGATTTGTTAACAATATGTACGCATCATACTCTTTATACTGAAAATTGTGCTGTCAGAAATGTTAAAATTCTTCGCGACTGGTTTTTGGATCCTCCAAACAAATATGTAAGTGCTGCTACAAAAGGCTTTGATGAAGTTGATTCTACTAGTTTAAAATGTTTTTACGAAAATTGTGAATCTTTTTTTTGTAAATAGTTTAATATGTTTTTTCAAATAAAATATTAATAATTTCAATTTAATACTTTGTTCGTTAATTTTTAAAACCTTTAATGTTAATGTTTAATGAAAATAAACTTATATAGGGTGAAGAAAATAATTTTAAAACCAATTTACAATTAAATTTTTTTTTTATTTTTAACAGTTATTTTATATGTATACATTTTTGTTTTAACATAACTTTTATTTCTTAAATTAATTTTTTTCTTTTTTTTTCACTTTAATAATTTAAATTCAACGATGTTGTATGGTCCTCCAAGGTACTTCAATTGTAGGTTCTTTAGGGCTGCAGCTTCTTGCATCATTTTTAAAGTGTTAGGCTCATCATCTTCGAAATGTTTAGCGAATCTGGTTGGAAGATATGTGATAAAGTCTGCGTCGAGTTCTACGATGATTCTGGGTCCGTATTTCGTCTGCACCTTTTTGATTTTTGTCACAAAGTATCGGCCATTTGTCACTAATTCCGATAGCGGCTTTGTTGGCAGAAAACCCTCCAATCGTCCAACTGCATTGACTTTTTCTAAATCCATATTTTTTTTGTTAAAAAAAGATCTGTAACAGAAAAATAGAAAATATTCTGAAACATTTTTAAAAAAAACATAGAACTGAAACATAAAATTAAAAGAAGAAACCTGAAACATAAAAAGGAAACTGAAAAAAGAAACTTGAAACATTTTTATGTTTCAAGTTCAACAAAGCTAAAACAAAAACCTGAAACAAAAAAAAATTTAAGAATAAACCTGAAACATAAAGATAGAACTGAAACAGAAAATTGAAAGGAGAAATCTGTAACAGAAAAATAAGCTGAAAGAGAATAAAAAGAAAAACTTGTAACTGAAAAAAAATCAAAGGAAACCTGAAACAAAAAAAAAATTTAAGAAAAAACCTGAAACATAAAAATAGAACTGAAACAGAAAATTAAAAGGAGAAATCTGTAACAGAAAAATAAGCTGAAAGAGAATAAAAAGAAAAACTTGTAACTGAAAAAAAATCAAAGGGAACTGAAACAAAAAAAAAATTTAAGAAAAAACCTGAAACATAAAAATAGAACTGAAACAGAAAATTAAAAGGAGAAATCTGTAACAGAAAAATAAGCTGAAAGAAGGAATCCATACTTACTGTTTTAATGTTGCAAATAGTCCCGGAATGCTGAAACATAAATGAGCTGCCTTTCTTTGCACACCGGTTTAAATCACCAAGTCCCCACTTTCTCTTTACCCCCACTTTCTCTTTCCCCCTCTCACAACATGCGCACGCATCATTTGAATGTGACTAGCATGAGGTAATATTTTAAAAAAATATTTAATGATTTTATTTTGTATAAAAAAATATTTAATTATTAAATTTTTTTTTTTTTAATAAGTATTTTAATCAGAATTGTCATGACGTTAAGGTGAAGATTTGCAGGATGTGTCATCGCTTAGAGTGGGTGGTGTTTCTGGAGGAATTAATTCATGTAATTCCGACATCTATAAAAAAAAAAAATTATAAGTTTTTAGTAAAACAATTTTATAAAAAGTATGTTAATAGTCATGTTTTATTCCAAGAAGTTTACCTCATCTTCACTAATATTAATTTCTAATACGTCACTGTTCGGACTCTCTGGTAGAATCATGCCGTATTCATCCAATATTTGATTAATATCAGGCAAAGATTCGAACATGTTGTATGCATTCAACATTTGATCAATGTCAGGGACGCATTCTAATAATTCTGACAACTATAAAAGAAAAGCCATAAAATTTTTTTTTATAAGAAAAGAATAATTATAATTTAATCTATTAAAAAAAAGAAAAAAATACCTCTTCTTCACCAAAGTTAATATCAAATATATTAATATCATTATTATTATCATTTGTGTCTTCATCATCGCTGCTAAGAATGATGGTTGAACCCTGACTATCATATATTTCAACCTCATTATCATCGGAGTTCTCATCCGAATCCTCATAAGAATTATAATAATATTCATCAAATATAACATATTCTATGTCCTCTTCCCCGCTACAGAGTTGATTAGAGTTTGGTAAGAAATTTGACATTTTTACTTTGAAACTGCAAAAAAAAAAAAAAAAAAAAAAACATGTTTGAAAAAGCGCCTAGATAAGAAAGAGAAAGGAAACTGAAAATAAAATGTACCGTTCTACTACAGTTTCTACTGCTGCTTCTGATGTTGCTGCAACTGAAAAAGAAATAATGACTCTTCGAGCTCGTGCGCTAACTTTTATGCCTCTTCAACGCTCCCCACTACAGTCACATGACATCCAACACCCTCCGCGGCAAACTGATGAACTAACACTCATTGGCGCGATGTTTTAAAATACGACATAAATTAAATATTTTATTTAAATCAAATTCAATTTTAAGTAAGTTAGGTTACACTTACTTTTACTAGAACAATTTTGTGAATTTCATTTAATTTTAGTTATTTCAGGATAATTTGATATAGCAAAAATTATTTGTACTCACCTTAGATGTGTTTGAAAATTATTTATTTATTTTATTTATTTTCTTTTAATTTAATTTAATGCAATTCGTATTATATAAGAATTTTTACAAAATTAAAACTAAAAAAAGTATATGGAAAACATTTAATTATATGAAGTTCTCGTAAAACACTAAGATGTACGTTAATTTTTAAAAAAATGTAATTTTTATAGAATAAAATCAAAAAAAGTATATCACAAAAAAACAAAAAAGTTCTTCACAAAACTATAAAATAGAACGCTTCAAGTAATTTTTCACTGAAAAAAAAAAATTTTTTTTATTAAAAGTCAAGAAATTTTTTTTCAAGACAATAAACACATACAATATAAAAAAACCAAATAAATTCACTTCGTGCAAGAAATATTTTTTATTTTTAGCAATACTTGCAAAACTTTTTAAAAAATAAACACAAATTATAAAAAATAAAATAAACACAAATTAGAAAAAAATAAAGGCCATACAAAAAAAAAAAAACTTCACACAAAATAAAAGAAAATTTCACACAAGATAAAAAAAAATAAACACAAATTATAAAAATAAAATAAACACAAATTAGAAAAAAAATAAAGGCCATACAAAAAAAACTTCACACAAAATAAAAGAAAATTTCACACAAGATAAAAACAAAAAAAATAAACACAAATTATAAAAATAAAATAAACACACATTTGAAAAAACAAAAGGCCATACAAAAAAAAACTTCACACAAAATAAAAGAAAATTTCCCACAAGATATAAAAAATAAACACAAATTATAAAAAATAAAATAAACACACATTAGAAAAAAAATAAAGGCCATACAAAAAAAAGAAAAGAAAAAAACTTCACACAAAATAAAAGAAAATTTCACACAAGATAAAAAATTAAACACAAATTATATATAAAAAAAATAAAATAAACACATTTGAAAAGAAAACAAAAGGCCATACAAAAAAAAACTTCACACAAAATAAAAGAGAATTTCATACAAGATAAAAAAAAACTTTATACAAAAAAAAAAATGAAGGCGATGACAGTAACATCTAATAGATTAACTTTTTCTGGACTTTTTACATGACCTCTTGTCCATTTTTTTCCTTCTTTTTTTATTGCTTAAAGTTGAGCCTGTCGATAAAGATGAATCTGAAGTTGAGCCTGACGATGATGATGAACCTGACGATGATGATGAGCCTGATGATGAAGATGATCCTGATGATGAAGAGGAGCCTGATGTAGAAGATGAGCTTGACGATGAAAATGGGATTTTTTTCTGATTATCATCATCATCATCTTTATCTTCCTCGTTCACGGCCTCGATATTTTCATTTACCTCAGAGGGTGCATCTGAGTCGACGTTTGCAAAATTCTCTGGGTTCTCTTCCGGTTCCGACTCCTCAAATGAATCTTCTTCGGAAAAACTCAAGTTTTGATTTGGAATTTTAGCACTTTCAGTTGGAATAGATGCTGCCTGCAATGGTAGATCTGCTTCTTCACTGTTTATTGGTGGCTGGATTGCAATGAGGTTTGTAGAGGGCAAAATATCCCATCTAGATACTTTGCACCGTTTTTTTGTTTCTTGTTGTCTTCTCTCTTTTAAAATATTTAATTTTAATTGTACCTTTCGTACTCGTTCTGCAAGGTCAACCTTGACAACGGATTCGTCTTTCTGCTGACACTAGAAATATCAATTAATTTCATTAATTTAAGTGTGTGTAAATCATGGAAAGTTTTATTCTTATTTTCTTATATAGGGCAGAGTCGGGTAGCCCCGTCACCTTAACGTTTTCAGGTTATTATATAAAAATAATATAATATATAAAATATAAAAATAATGGATAAATAAGTCAGCGCAACTTTAGTAAATTGACTTGTTTTGAAGGCAAAATTTTTAGACAAGGTTTTTTACTCTTTTAGGGTGACCATTTGTTCAAATAATTTTAAATTTACATTATGAGAACATCTCAAATAAAAAAAAACAATTTACTATTATCGTAAATATAATAATAATAATAATTTATTAATTACCGTGTGTGGCCACGGCTACCCCATGGCCATGGTTACCCAACTCTCCCTTATAGAAGCTAATTATTTTTGCATTTGACTTGTGAAAAAATAGTCACAAAAATATTTATTTAGATTAATATGTAAATAAAAAAATATTTTTAAAAATCGTTTACCTTTGGAATTGAAGTCAAAGAAAAATGTGGCACAGGCAGTGTTATTGTTGTTCTTGTTCTTTGCTTTTTTTTTAATCGAGGATCATTTGGATAAACTAGTTGACATGCTTCACAGGAACAATAAACGCTTTCCTTCGGTGGACCTGGTGCATACGACCTTAAATAAAACGGATCTGTCGTTCGGAAAAAACGACAACTCTCGCAATCGCATCCTTTTCTTTGTTCATCAACCTAGAAAATATTTGTTCTTTTTCTTATAACAATATATATATAAACATAACATATATATGTACATTAATTTTACACTTACCATCGTTATATCCAGCTGTTTTTCATCAATGGCGGCCATTTGCATTCACGGCCAGAGTAGAGAAGGTTAGTATACTACAGTAAAACCAAGGTTTATGAATTAAGGATGCTTTCAGCAGCTGTCTAACTTCTGATTGGCTGCTCTTATTTTCTCTATTAGAAATAGCCAATCAGCGTGTTTTTAATTAAAATCGATACAAACATTTATATTTAACATTTATATTTAACATTTAATATAAATAGCTTATGATTATTATATGAAAAATTATTATTGTTTAATATACTATAATTATATACTAATACTAATTAGATAAAAATAATTAAAACACATTATTATTATTACCTAGTACCACCATGCCTAAGGACTTTAAGTTGTTTTAAAAAATTACTTAACGCCGATCCATTTCAAATTGACTGTGAAAATAAGTGGTGTCATCTAACCGTGGCAGCCAGTAATAATTTGGAGGGAAATTTAAAAATCCCCTATGCCAAGGAACTTTAAATTATTATTTTTAAAATTACAAAACGCCAAGCCATTTTGAATTGGCCGCGAAAATAAAGTGGCCCCTTCTAATAGTGACGCTGGTAATAATTTTATCGTTAAATTTGGTGGGGAATTTAAAAATCCCCTATGCCAAGGCACTTTAATTTCACCGGTAATAAAAATTATACAAATTCCAAGCAATTTTAAATTGGCTGCCAAAATAAAGTGGTGCCATATACCGGTGACAATGAGAATTAAGACGGCCGGTATAAAAGAACACAATATTGCAAGGCAGGTAAAAATGGTTGAGAAAAAAATTACCAAATTCGAAGCAATTTTAAATTGGCCGCCAAAAAAAAGTGGCGCCATCTAGCGGTGGCAACGAGAATTAAAACGATCGGTAAAGAAGAACACAGTATTGCAACGCAGGTAAAAATGTGTGAGAAAAAAAAATTACCACATTGCAAGCCAGTTTAAATTGGCCGCCAAAATAAAGTGGCGCCATCTAGCGGTGAAAATTAGAACTACACCACATTGCAACGCAAGTAAAAATGGGTGAGAAAAAAATTACAACATTGCAAGCCAGTTTAAATTGGCCGCCAAAATAAAGTGGCGCCATCTAGCGGTGAAAATTAGAACTACACCACATTGCAACGCAGGTAAAAAATGTCGGTAAAACAGATTCCTACTTTACCGACCTCGGTCGGTAACTGCGCTAGAACCCGTGTTGCTATACTACTTTAATAATTAATAAATAAATTATTATTTTTTATTATTATTAATAATAAATTATTTATTAATTATAAATAGCAAAAGAAATTTAAAAAAAAAAAATATTTGAATAGAAATAACTTTTTGTCCACAGAAAAAAAAATGAAAAAAAATTGTCATAAATCAAATATAAATTTAAATTGTTTTTAGATGGGATTTAAAACTCCAGGTACTGCATCTTGTGAGTGGTTATCACTCACGATAAAACTTCCTAAAGAAAATCGAGACAAAGTTCAATTGACTGTAAAATCGGATTTAGTGGATCTACGTAGTCCAAAGTAAGGATGACAATTTTTTTTTTTTTTTTTTCTTAAAAAATTAAAGTTTCAAATTTTTTTCCGCTTATTTTTTTCCTGAAAATCTATTAATAAAAATTACATTTTTTTTATTTTATTTATTCTTTTTTTATCACGTTTTTATATTGTATGTGCAACTTTTTTATAATTACTCGCTTTTACCGCTTATTTTTTATTTAAAAAAAAAAAAAAAAAAAAAAAAAAATTTAATTATACCGAGAGACCATATCACAGGCGAATCTCTCACAAAATGCAATATAGAAAATGTCTTTTTACTTATTATCGCGAAAATTGTTTTTCTATTTTTTTCGTCCTTTCCTTTTTTGCTAAATGCTTCTCCATTTTTGTAATATAATTAGTCACATTTAAAAAAATAATCTACTTCATTTATTATATCGCTCTCTTTGAAAATTATCTTTATTATTATTTTTATTAGATAATTAAAAATAATAATAATAATAATAATAATAATAAAAATTATTTGATGTTTAAATTGTCACTAATTTCTTTTTTTTCCATTTTTAAATTGTTTATAGAGTGTAAAAAATTGAAATTCATTTTATTTTCAATTTTAGAAATACAAATTTAATAATTGTAATTTTGATTTTATAAAAACTCGATTAATTTTAAAATTTATTTTTATTTATTTAACAAACATATAAAAATATAAAATATAATATAAAATTTAAAAATTATTTATTATTTTTTTTTTTAATGAGGAAATTAAAATATTATTAATTATTATAGATATCGTTTGGTATTGCCAACGCCACACAAAGTTGATCCTAATGTTTCTTCAGCAAGATGGTTCAGAGAAACGTATACATTAGAGATTTCATTAAAGCTAGTTCGAGAATTAGATCCAATTAATTTTTGAAAAAAAAAATTAACATAAAAATTAATTTAATTATCAATTTTAAATTTATAAATACAATAATTCATAATATTCAACTTTTCTTACAAAAAAAAAAGAACAGAAAAGACAATTTTTATTCCAATTTTTTGTGAGTTATAAATATATATTTTGTATTTTTTTTTTTTTTTTTTTAATAGAAAAACAAATTTTTTTAATTATATTTCAATATTTATATTAAATAGCAAAAAAATATTAATTGTATTGTATTTAAATATAATAATAATAATTCCTAATCAATATTGTGTCTGATAATTACAAAATTTTGTACAAAATAAATAAATAAAAAATAAATTTATAAAAATTAAATGAATAAAAATTAAATTTATAAAAATTAAAAGAATAAAAATTAAATTATTTGTTCGTAATTAATAAATATGAAAAGATTATTAATAAAAATTAAATTAGTGAAAATTAAATTTTACAAGATTTAATTTAATAAAATTCAATAATTTAACAGTGAAAGAAATTTAAAAAATAAATAATTTAAGAATAATGAAATTAATTTAAATAAAAATTGAGTGACAGGTGTTGTGGTATCATATTGAAATTATTCTATGAGTGTGGGAGTAAAAGATAAGCAATGTGAGTGGAAATAAATTACATTTTGAATTAAATTTTAGTTCCTCAACTTTCTGAAGAGAAGATAAGCCACGGAGCGATATGCGCCTCCATAGCTCAGGGGTTAGAGCACTGGTCTTGTAAACCAGGGGTCGAGAGTTCAAATCTCTCTGGGGGCAACTTTTTTTTTTTTTTTTTTTTTTTATTCAGAAATATTGCTCGTTTTTTTTTAAATAAAAATTAAAACAATATTTAAATAATAATAATATTGATTAACGTTTCTCTATATTTATTTATATTATAAAAAAAACAACCAATAAGGAAATAATAAAATTAACAGTTTTAACGTTTCAAAGTTGATTCCGTTTATCTCTTCAGAAATTTTATTTCCATAAAACATATAATTAAAACTTATTTTTTATAATTATGTAACAATTGAAAATTATTATTTATAATTATGGAATAATTAAAAATTATTTTTTTTATAATTAATTAAAAATTAATAACTATAACCTATTTATATACCTACTTTAATTTTGTATTTTAATTTTGTTTCTGTCTAAAAATTATTTTTTATAATCAATTATTAATAATTAAAAATATTTTTTTTTATATTTAATTTATAATTTAACATTAATAATATCCATTTTCTTTTTGTAAACAAATTTGTTATTAAATTTAAATTCAAAATTATTTATATTAATGTAAGGGATTTCCAGATGTAAAAACTATTTACATAGTATAAAAGAGAAATAAATAAAACATTAATAATAATTAATTAATTAAAAATTAATTTTATATTTATAATTAAAAATTATTTAAAAATTATTCTTTTATAATTAATTAAAAATTATTATTTATACTTTAATTTCGTATTTTAATTTTGTTTCTATCAAAAAATTATTTTTTCATAATTAATTTCAAATTATTTTCTTATATTTAATTAATAATTGTTATAAATAATAAAAAAATTATTTTTTATAAGTAAATAATAATAAAAATTATTTTAAAAAATTTTAATAATTAAAAATTTTTTTTTTTTATTAATTAATAATTTAATTTAATTTAAAAAAATTGGAATTGAATTTATATATATGTGCGACATCGTGGATTTTGGTTGGTTTTTGTATAAATTGTATATGCAAAGCGTTAATTAGATTTTCGACTATTACTATACCGGAAATTATACATGTTCGTATAGATACATGTATATAATCTGGTTCAGGTGCATTATTAGATTCACGAATTCTGAAGTTCAAGTCACAAGTTAAATTGTGGCTGGAAGATGTGTTCAATATTGATTTCTCTTATATATATATATATATGTATATGTTAACTAAAGTTCTTGCCTGCTTAAATTTTCGAGTAAATTCAAATTTAACTTGTACACCTTTATATATAGTTTGAAATGAGCTAAAACGGTAAACAGTTTATATAAACTCTCACTTTCAATAAGTATTTACCAAGATTTCATCCATTATCTTAGTCTTCAAAATTATTTTACAACTTTTTAATTTTTAAATAATTTTTTTAAAAATTTTAATGCAAAGTTTTTCTAATTTTTTTTTTTAATCAAAAAAAAATTGTCTTCAAACTTTTAATAAAGGAAAAAAATCGTATTCAAGTTCTTATATAATAATTTTTTATTATTAATTAATTAACTAATTAAAATAAATTAAAATTTTTTGTTATTACATTTATTTTTAAAATTATTTATATTAACGTAAGGGATTTCAAGATGTTAAATATATATATAGTATATAAGAGAAATAAATACTTTTATTGAAAAAAAATAATTTGACTCATATAATCGGTTACTTTCTTTGTTTGAAATTTAAATTTTTCTTCTACTGATACAATTAACATTTGTCATTATTGACAGTTAACAAAAGTTTGTCTTAATTTTCAAAACTTTTAATAAAGAAAAAAAATCGTATTCAATTTCTTATGTAATAATTTATTATTATTAGTTAATTAACTAATTAAAATAAATTGAAATTTTTTGTTATTAAATTTAACATTATTTATATTAACGTAAGAGATTTCAAGATGTTAAATATATTTATATATAGTATATTAGAGAAATAAATACTAAAAAAAAATTAAAATAAATTAAATTTAACGATTTATTGAAAAAAAATCATTTTGGTTCAAATAATCGGTTACTTTTTTTGTTCGAAATTAAAATTTTTTTTCTACTGATACAATTAATATTTGTCATTATTGACAGATCACAAAACTAAACCACAATTAGAGAGAAAAGAAATGGGACGCATGATTATGTTCTAAAAATCATTAGTCATAATTTACATTTTATAGAATTTTATTTGTCCTAATTAGTTTTAAGCCGAATTTTTATTTCTTCGAAATAGCATTTGGCATAATTTACATCAAAGCGATTTTCTATAATATATAGAAAAAAACTGAACAAAATGAACAAAAATGAACCTCGAGAAACTCATTTTGAACTTCAGGCAAAAAGCATCAAAATAAGCTAGATCCGATTCATTTTGATTTCAAGTTAAAATGACAATTATAGTCAATTAAGAAGCACTTTATCATAAAACCATTAATCAAAATCATTGTTTTCAATGAACAAACAGATTACACTTGAAAAAACTTTGTTTCTTAAATCCGATTCATTGAATTTATAGAAAACAAAATAAATTATTTTTAGGTTAGAAACTTCTGAATTGACAGAAATAAATACCAACCATGCAACACGAAACATGAAATTTAACGGCGCCACTGTCTAAAAACCAAAGATAATGGCGCCAAATTTAAACTTGAAACTATAACCAAAAATAAAGTGTTATTCATTATAATAATATATATTTATAATTATATAATGTATTATAAATACATATAATATATTATAATTATATAATTGTAAAATATGATTATCTCTCATATAAGAAAAATTATCATAATGAAATAAGCATATATTTTAATTGAACATCTTTATTCTCCAGAAAATAAATTATTACAATTTGAGTAACAATAATTTTTTTAATAATTGAACTGATAAATACCTAATAATATAATATATTGTCTTGAATTCTATAAATCCGTATGAAGATCATTTATCACTTCAAGGTGATCTTGATCGATTATCGGAATGGTGTGATCTAAATCATATGTCAATCAACATTAATAAAAGTCATGTTATTTCCTTCACCAAAAAAACAACATTGTTGTATCATTACACAGTTGGTAATGACGAATTACACAGGGAGAGAATAGTTCGTGACTTAGGTGTACTTTTTACTAGTGATTTCTCTTTCAATGAACATATCTCGGATGTGGTTTCAAGAGCTTTAAGGTCCCTGGGATTCATAACGAGAAATGCATCGGTTTTTCACAGCTCTGTAACACTGAGGGTTCTATACTTTACACTTGTCAGAACGATAATTGAATATGCCTGTATTATTTGGTCACCAATGTATGTATACCAGATTATCAGACTTGAGCGTGTACAAAATAGATTTCTTAGATTTGCTGCAAGACAACTTGGTATTCCTTTTGATAGATACACGCATGATTATAATAACTTACGTTCAATATTAAATATCCCTTTGGTCTCCTCAAGGTTTCTTTATGCGGATATAAGTTTCTTGTACAGACTATTAAACGGAATTATTCAGTGTCCTTCTCTTCTGTCATTAATAAATTTGTCCGTTCCAGTAAGAACAACAAGGAATTACTTACTTTTTTCTGTAGCATTTCATAGAACAAACTATGGGAACAATGCTTTAATTGATAGACTTAGTAGAGAAGCTAATTCAATTTCTAACGAAATAGACCTATTTGACAATAATTTAACAAGATTCACCTCGGCATTATGTAGATTAATACTAAATAATAATTAAAATGCACCAACCTAGTTATAATTATATTTATATTTTTTATATACAAGTTTGTATCTATATTATAATAAGTACTATTGTACGAAAGGGCATGTCCCATTAACTTAATAAATGAAATGAAATGAAATAATAATAATATAATAATATAATACCTGATAATTACTACTTTATGTATAATTTAATTATTTTACATCCACAGTCCAGTTTTGTAATATATAAATATATAAATAATTCTAATCAAATAATATAAAAGTATTAATATTAAATAAATATTAATATAATTAATGTAATATATATAAATTTTTATTTAAACTTATTTTAATAAATTTATCCCATACCATTTTTTAAATTGTAATTCTTGTATATTTTACAATTATTATATATTATCTATTATTATATTTATATTATACTATGTTAAAATATAATACATATAATAGTTTATAAATGAATATTATAAATATAATATACTAGGGGGGCTCCGCCCCCCTGATTTAATCATTTTTTTTTAATTTTCCATTGATCTTATTTTTCCAAATGAACCACCTATTTCAAAGAATTATTATTACAAATTCATTGAAATCTGAATAAATATTATTAAAATTAAAATTATTAAATTTTAATTAATAAATTAATTAAATTAATAATAAATAAATAATTAAATAAATTATAATCGACATTAAGAAATTATTTTTAAATATAATTTCAATGAAATTGCCTAAAAACCAATAAATTATAAAAAAGTCTTGAAACGAACATAACCTTTAAATTCAAGTCATTTTTGGCGGGAACTCCACCTCCACTTGCGGCTATATTGAAAGTCTTGAAATTTTCATAACCTCAAAATTTATGTCATTTTTGGCGGGAAATACGGAGAGAGATGAGGGAAGGGGGAAGAACTTACTGCTTTACTCAGAGTCTTAAAACAAACATAACCTTAAAATTTAGGTCATTTTTGGCGGAGGAGGGAAAATGAGTGGAGGGAGGGGGGCTTGCGGCTATATTCAGAGCCTTGCAACGAACATAACCTCAAAATGTATGTCATTTCAGGCGGGGGAGGGGAGGGGACTTGCGGCTATATTCAGAGACTTAAAGCGAACATAACCTCAAAATTTAGGCCATTTTGGCTGAGGAGGGGAAATGAGAGGAGGGAGGGGGACTTGCGGCTATATTCAGAGTCTAGAAACGAACATAACCTCAATTAGAAGGGGGGGATTCCCCCCCTCCTAGGTCAAAATGTCTGAAACAGCGGCGGCGGCTGCGGCGAAATATTTTTATAATATAGAAAGATAATAATAATTTACATTATACATTAACTATAATTATTCAAATTTATTGTTAAATTAAAGTAAAATATATTTCTACTATTTCAATTTGAATATTGCGCCAGTGTGGCGCTGCATACATAAGTTGCAGTTGTTGCCAACATAATAATCTTAAAAATCTTGAATTTCACCAGAAACTAACATAACCTGTCATTTGATCCGGGTCCGGTTCATATTGAGTAACTTGAAGTTAGTTGTTGTTCATTATGATACCGAATTCAGAATGAACTGCAACAAAAATGAACTCAGTTTTTTTCTGTGATATTAAAGAATTTTTATATAACGGAAAATTCAACTCACAGAATTTTTATTTCTTCGAATTTTTATTTGTCAGAATTTTTATTTGCTCGAATTTTCAATTTAACATAATAGGCATTTTAAAGAATTTTTATTGGGTAGAATTTTATTGAATAGAATTTTCATTCAGATGAATTTTCATTTTTTCGAATTATTATTTGATATAATTTCCATATAATCGATTTTTCATACTACATGAATTTTTACTTAACCGACAAATCATTTAATAGAATTTCTAATTGATAGAATTTTCATTTGTCCGAAATTTTCAAATGACCGAAGCAACAATCGATTTTGGCGCGATTTTTAAAATCAACCAATCAAAAATTATTCATAAAATTGTGATTGGTTGATTTTAAAAATCGCGCCAAAATCGATTGTTGCTTCGGTCATTTGAAAATTTCGGACAAATGAAAATTCTATCAATTAGAAATTCTATTAAATGATTTGTCGGTTAAGTAAAAATTCTGTAGTATGAAAAATCGATTATATGGAAATTATAACAAATAATAATTCGAACAAATGAAAATTGATCTGAATGAAATTCTATTCAATGAAATTCTACCCAATAAAAATTCTTTAAAATGCCTATTATGTTAAATTGAAAATTCGAGCAAATAAAAATTCTGACAAATAATTAAAATTCGAAGAAATAAAAATTCTGTGAGTTGAATTTTCCGTTATATAAAAATTCTGCAATATAGAAAATCGGATTGATGAAAATTCGATAAAATTCGATAAAATGTAAATTATGACTAATTATTTTTAGAACATAATCATGCGTCCCAAATAAATATATATTATATAATAACAAAAAAAAAAACCTATAATTTTCAATTACTAATAATATTACAAATCAAATAATATCAAAACAGAAATATTTAAAGAAAATTTAAAAAATTTTTTATTTATTATGAAAATTGTCCTATTGTGAAAATATTCGCACCTTCCAAATTTTTAAATTTAAAATATATATGAAGAATAATGCGTCTTGCTCTCCTAAAATTGTATATCGTTTTCTTTTATGTACAACGGTATGCTTTTTACAAATTTAAAAGGGCGTTATAAAATATCATGTATTTTAAAAAAAAAAAGTACCTGTATAACTATATATATACGGAATGTATTCTGTTAGGAGAAGTGGAGGAGCTTGCGCGCAAGGGATGTAAAAGAGTCATGAACAAACGTTGACGGACTCAGAATGTGCCGGTACAAACCAGAGCACGGATGGTTTTACCTTTCGTCCTTATTTTCTCCGAGGCTTTATCAAACACGAGGTTTCGCGCGCGAAATTAAAACACTAAACAATTTTAAATTAAATTAATTAATTATAAACAATTTTTATCACAAAAAAATTCTTAAATTCTTTTCATCTCATTAAAAAAAAAAAAAAAATACAATGATATTTTATCACTAAAAAATAATTATAAATTTGGAAAAAGTTATTTCAAAATAAAGATTAATAAATATTTTTTCAAAAATACAAAAAGAAGTAAAATATGATTAAAGAAAAAAAAATTAATAGTGAGAAAAAATGATTTTTTGATGATTGTTTAGCCAAAAAAAAAAAAAAAAATTCTAAAAATGCTCTCTTTAAAATCAATAAAAAAGAAAACAAAAATATTAAAAAGTGCTATATGAAAATGTATTTGCAATTTTTTTCTTTTTTTCTTTTTGTTTCGAAAAAAATGTTTCTTAAACTAATTAGAAGGTTTTAAAAAGTTTTTTAAAAAAATGAAGTAATTTTAAAATTTGATAAATAATTATCAAAAAAAATAATAATTGGTTCACACACACACAAAGAGAGATTTATTTTCATTGTGAGAGAGAAATTGAAGGAGTAAAGTATAGAAATTCTCAAGTGCAAAGATAAATCTTGTGAAATCTATCATTTGGATTAGAAAATTTTTCCTTTCGTTTACTTTGACTGTGATTTATTTGAAACCAAAACTAATCGAGACATTGGAATTTCTTTTTCACCTCAATAATAGAGTGCAAATTAGTGCAATTTTGATTTTTTATTAAAAATCGAAGAAAAATCAGTAACGTCAAAAAAAATTTTTTTTTTTTCAAATTTATCAAGTTTTCCTTGTCAATTACACGGTAAGTCACAAACTATTAAATTTCGACTAAATTAAACATTTTTTTTACATTTTCTAATAATTATGTTTTTTTTCAAAAAAAATAATTTCAAATTTTAATTTCTTTGGAAGAAAATTCTTTCTATTTAATTTTTTCCCGTTTTATTTTTTATACAACGCTTATTTATTTATTATTAATAAATAATAATAATAATAATAATTGGGTACTTACAAATATCCAATTGAGTTCAGGATGCTCCATTTTCATAAAAGTGGATCTGCAAAATATAAATAGGCAGTAATTAACAATTGAGATTCACAAATTTAATTATTTTCAAATAAATGAATAATAGTTTTTAATAATTTATAGTAATAATAATAATAATAATAATAATAATATTATTATTATTATTATAATATAATAATAATAATAATAATATTATTATTATTATTATAATATAATAATAATAATAAATAATAGGTACTTAAATAAAAAATATTAACCAATTCATAATTTTTTAATTATAATTTTTTTTCTTCTATTTAAATAAATAAATAATTAAAATAAATTTTAAAAAAGTTATTATAAATAGATGATATATATATATTTTTGAATTTTATAAGTTATTAAAATATGTATAAAAAAATATAAAAACCCTTTTAGTTTTAAACGTACACATACATGTATGAATAAAAAAGAAACATTACTTTTATTTATAATAAATAGTAATGATCGCATAAAAAAATTTATAGAAAATATTTTTATGGAAAAAACTATAAAAAAAAAAATTCGCAGCCACAAATGATCGATAAATATAAAGTTTTTATAGTATAAACTGATTATTAACGCACAATCTTTATTTTCTAATATTTTTTTCAAAAAATATTTTTAAAAATATTTTTTTATTTTTTTTTATTCTATTTTTTATTTTTTAAAATATTTTTTAATTTAATATTTTAATTATATTTTATTTATTTTTATATCTAGATATTATATTAATATATTATAATATATTTATATTTTTTAATTTTTGATTTAAATAAATAATAAATTATAAATTATTATTTAAAACAAATAATAATTTCAAATTGTTAATTATTTAAATAGATAGTAAATAAATAATTGTAAATTATTAAAAAAGAAGAACTAAACATTTTTTATTATCGAAAAAAACTTTTTTTTTAAAAAAAAAAACATTCGCGGAAAAGTTTTTATGTCTTTTTCTTATATCATTTCACGTAACCGATCTATCATTCTTTTTCGATACATGTAAAAACAAAGTTCACATACATAAAAGTTTTCTGCAAACGTCGAACAGAAAAAGCGTTAAACATAATATACAAGTTTTTGTTTTTATCTTGTTTCGTGGTAAAAAAAAATACAAATTTGTAAAACGAATAAATAATTATTAAAAAAAAAAATTTAAAGATTCAATTAGTTTTTAATAATTTAATAAATAAATTAATTATTAAAAATTTCTCTAAAGAGTGATTTTAACAAAAAAATCTGATTTTTGAAAAATATCCAATTTTTTAAATTAATTTTTGATAAAGAAGAAAAATTATTGATAAAATTACATTGTCATTTAAAAAAAAAAAATTATAAAATTGAGTAAAAATCGATTGCAATTTTTTTTTTGTGAAAATGAAAGATTGTTTTGTAGATGATAACAAAATTTCCAGTCTGCTTCAAGTCTGAACAAACATATAAGCAACGAGACTTGAGAAATTTTGGTACTATAAATCATTATAATCGTCCACACAAGCCTGGTCATAGAGCGATAAAACGTTCAACGCCAACAGTTAAAAAAAAAACTCAACAAGAGCTTTCATCACCTAAAATCACTATTCATTGTGTCATAAATAATTTTACATCAATAAAAAAAATTTTTGTTTTTTTTTTAATCGCATTTTCTCAAAATGTAATTAATTATTCTTAATTAAAATTATTATTACTAAAATAGAGAATAATATGATAAAAATTTTAAGATTAATATTATACACCCAGAAAAAAAAGATTTCTTTGAAACAAAGAAATTGTTCTTTTAACCTCACTTTTTGAATGTAAGACTAAATTTGTTTGAATTAAAAAAAAAAGTTTTTTTTGCTTTTACAAAAAGAAAATTTTTAATTAAACAGATTTTTTCTTTAAATGATATTTTTAATCTAATAAAAAAATTTCTTTGAATCAAATAAATATTTCTTTTGAATTTATGTACTCTGAGTTACCACGACTGCGTTTGCGCAGACTCTATGTAAATTCGTAAACAGCTGTGATCTTCGTGATCAAAATTCTGTAACGGTTGCCATGGCATCGGTTACTATGGCAACAGTTAGTTACTATGGCATTAGTTACTGTAGCATTAGTTACTGTAGCATTAGTTACTGCGGCATTAGTTACTGCGGCATTAGTTACTGCGGTATTAGTTACTATAATAACAGTTAGTTACTGTGACATTAGTTACTGCGGCATTAGTTCCTGTGGCATTAGTTACTGCGGCATTAGTTACTGCGGCATTAGTTACTGCGGCATTAGTTACTGCGGCATTAGTTACTGTGGCATTAGTTACTCTGGCAACGGTTACTATGGCAACGGTTGCTATGGTAACTGTTACTATGGAAACGGTTGCCATGGAAACGAATCCCTAAAAAAGTAAAGAAATAATTTCTTTAAATCAAAGAAATTTTTTCATTGATCCTATAACAATGTACAAATTTCTTTGATTCAAAGAAACGTTTTTTGAAACAAAGAATCTTTTTTCTGAGTGTAAATATATAAAATTCTAAGTCACCTTATCTTATTAATTAATTAATTAATAATTTTCCTCTTTGAACAGAAAATAATAAAATAAAAAAAAATACATTTCTGTCTAATGATTCAAAATCCAGTATATAAGATTTGTCTGAATTTCTATAGATTAATTTACACATCAAAGGCTTAAATACCTGCACGACTATTGAAAGTCTAATGCAGAATATATTTGCCTTAAAGGCAACTTGAATATTTGTGGTTCATGTAAATGGCCCTGTAGCTTTGAGTAAATCTTCAAATATTAAATAGGGAGAGAAAAGAGAAAACCCTTTATAAATACATTAAAAAATAAAAAAAAAATAATAATAGAGAATGAAATAATAAAAATTCATAAATTTTAAAAATATCATTAATTTTCCCAATTTGTCATTCGTTTTGCTAAAAAAATTCGTCCAGTTTTCAAATTATAATTAGAAAAAACAAACAAAAATTGCAAAATATAATTTACAATTATAAGAGACACAAAAAAAAAAAAAATTAATCCGTTTTGTTTTTACATTTCTGGAAAAAAATGCCGTTGATTATATATACAATATGATTAAGTGCAATTAAAATATGACGAAAGAATTTTTCCACTTTAATTTCCAACACCTGGACAAGTACACCAAATCGAGAGTGATTACGTTACCAGATTGTCATTTCACTCTATTTGTAATTTTTTTTTCTTATATTTCTTATGCATAGAAAATACAGTTTTTTTTTTAAACATCAGCAATCACAATTTTAAAAAATTGAACAAGAAAAACTAAGAAAAAAAAAGAAAGAAAAGAAAAATTATAGTCTTTTGAAAACTTTACCGACAAGAAACTTTTCATGGCTCTCTCTTTCTTCATTGTAATAATAAAGAAGACTGGTTTTGAAAGTTTGTAAATTAACGCGAGCGTTTAAAGAAAATTAAACATGATGCAAATTTATTTCATTTCTGTATTGTTTTATGTTCATTAATAACACAAAAAAAATTAATAGTTATTAAAATAATAATAATAATAATAATAATAAAAATAATATAATAAAAAAAATAATAATAATCTCTCTATATTATAAAAAGATTTCGCCGCTGTCTCCATACGGGTCATTCCACGTCAAGAGTAACCAACCTAAGACTTGTTTTTGACATAGTAAGTACATGGAATGACCCATATACAGTATTTTGGCTATATTTTGGTTCTGATTTTAACCTCAAATCCAGCGGCGAATTGACGTGAAATGACCTATACACTAGTTACTGCGGCATTAGTTACTGCGGCATTAGTTACTGCGGCATTAGTTACTGCGGCATTAGTTACTGCGGCATTAGTTACTGCGGCATTAGTTACTGCGGCATTAGTTACTGCGGCATTAGTTACTGCGGCATTAGTTACTGCGGCATTAGTTACTGCGGCATTAGTTACTGCGGCACTAGTTACTGCGGCACTAGTTACTGCGGCACTAGTTACTGCGGCACTAGTTACTGCGGCACTAGTTACTATGGCATTAGTTACTGTGGCAATAGTTACTGTGGCATTAGTTACTGTGGCAACGGTTACTATGGTAACTGTTACTATGGCAACGGTTGCTATGGTAACAGTTACTATGAAAATGTTACTATGGCAACGGTTGCTATGGTAACGGTTACTATGGAAACATAACCTTAAAATTCAAGGTCCCAGGTCCCCAAGATTCAAGGTCATTGATCAAACATAACCTCAAAAATTCAAGCGCACAGGTTTTCAGAATTCAAGGCCTTAGTTAAAACATAACCTCAAAATTCAAGGTCATAGGTTAAACATAACCCTAAAATTCAAGGACTTAAAAAAGTTTCAAGAAAAATAGAATAAAATCCTCTAAATAGAAGAAATAGGCGAATTTAAAAGTAGAAGAAAATAAAAAAGGAATTCGCAAAGTATTGTAAGAAAATTGAAGCGAATTTAATGAAAAATGAATTGTTTTCGAATTACATTATCATGAGACACTTTGAAGAATGAACGCGCGGTGCAAAAAAAAAAGAAAAGAAAAAACCTTTGAGCTTTAAGATGTCCTTTTCTCGCATTGAGAAATAGACGTTTATCGATAACACACGAGGGACTGAATCAGCATCAATGAGCAGCGAAACGAAGAGAACTTGATAGTTCGACAGAGGTTCCTCACCCCCTCCACCCCCCCCTCTTTATATAAACTCAAATGCAATTTCGATTCAAGTTCTCCGATGAACAGGTTTTAATTTGAATATA